AGACCCTTGATTTATCTACACGTGCTCTTCCACATTCATACCATGTTCAGTGATTCAACAATAGTGGTAAGGCAATGGTAACACAATCTACTCGTGTGCATTTTTCTATCGGAACATACCATAATTATGCTGATTTTGATGTCATGCCTATGCAAGCTTATTCACTTTTGTTAGGCCGGCCTTGGCAATATGATAATAATGTTGTATATCATGGTAGACAAAATAGATATACTTTTATGTTTAAACAAAAGACCATTGCTTTACTTCCTTTAACTCCTGCTGAAATTGTGCAATATGAAAAGGAACTTGCTAAAACGAAAAAGAAAGGCCATGATAAAGACTCTAGCAAACTAGCAAATGAACCATCAAGTAACATGAAAGAAGTTTTATTTGCTCTTAAATCTGCTCTTGCTGATCATGATGAACCATGTTATGCTTTAACTTGTACATCGCCTATATGTCCACTTGGTCCTGCTTCTAGTGTTATGCCTCTTGTTGGTATTAACCTTTTGCAGGAGAAAGGGGATGAAATCCTAGCAGGGAGGCCACCATGGCAGCCGCCTTTGTGAAGGATTGGGCACCAAGATGAACATCGTCTTCTGGAGCCATCGTTGTTGTCATCCAATGGAGGAAACAATCTACTTCAGTCGAGGACGACTTCAATTCAAGAAAGGGAGGATGATGAGGACATCACTCCGTCACATACAATCCAAGGAGAGGAGGAGGTCCAGCATGGGCGTCTAATTCATCTTTCATATGGTGGAGGCCCAGTCCAACTTAAGTTGGAGTCCATCTCGGGTTTCAGGACCAGTCTGTCATAAAACTGGTCACACGGGCGCGTCTGGGCTCTATTTTCGATGATCCACATATGGATCGAAAGCTAATTAGATAAGGAAGCCAATACAAGTGGTCTCACGTCAAAAGCCCTTTGGAATTAACAGGAATCGTCGAAACAAGTAAGTGTCCAGAATCTGTCAGGGTGCTGCCACACCGTCTTTTGGTCCGTTGGACCGTGTATTGTGTTTGGGCCCATTAGAGGTGTGTCCAGGGGGGTGACGCCAAAGACTCTATATTATACCGCCATCACTCTCGTTAGGGTTTTGGGGGTTTTGTTTAGTTCTTGATTTCCTCATGAAATAGATGTCGTTTTGCTGCAATTGTGCCGCCAAGGCCGCTTGCTGTGAACCAGGGCCCCGGTTCCTGATCTTGTTCATCTATGACGATAGGTCCTTTCGAATAAAGACTTGAACTCCTTTTCATTATCATAAGCTTCATATTTATTTGTAATTTTAGATTACATTCATCCCGTTCTTGCTTGTGTTCTTGATTCGCTTGCAGGAAAGTCTTCTCGGTGAGGTCAATCATGTTCGTGTGGTTGATAACCAACGGAGCAGTGGTGTAATGGTTGCGAGGGTCCAAATCAGTCTTGGTTTGAAGCCTAGATCGTGAACGTCAAGTCTCCACCAATCGACACTATCGTACCTATCGGAAGATCGGGCCTTGTCTATATCACTTAAAGTACTCATTTCTACGGCATTAGCATTACTAAGTAGAAATTAGAGGAATAATTACTAAGTCATTCTTAATTACAAGTCAAAGCTTACGTTGATTAGTGCAACTTAGTAGTTATGGCTATGATCAACTTTATATCTACACATAAGGGATATTACTAAGGAAGATTAAGAACATAGCTTGTTTTTCTTCGTAACTAGATCCTACTTGTCCTATATTCGGGGAGTAGACTATAAAGGACTCAATGGGAGTGTCACATCCACAATCTACCACATAGTCCGAAATATAGGGTGCATCCGCATAGTAAATAACATATAAGCATCACGCTTACACAATGTCGACCACTCACCCCTTGTACTTTGGAGCGAGCGCTATATGAACTTATGCTTGAACATGATGATAATTTAACTATACTTAGCATATAATCAAAGTATACGATGAACATGATAACTAGGAACATGAATAATATTAAGAATAATATCGAATCAATTGTAGCAAACATATGAATAATGAAAGATACAAAAGAGAATACAAGGGGCTAGCCACGCTCTTGACACGATCAGAAATCCTGTCTCCCTCTAGATCTAGCCTAGCTAGCTATGCCCTAAAATATGGTGGAGCTCTGAGGATGATTAGGGTTTCTATCTTCTCAAATGACTTGATGATCAGGGTTATTGATGCTAGGGGAGATGACAGGGGCTGTATATATATATGCCGTAGCATCTATTCTGAGCCCTCGGATCAAACCGACTTGAAAGAACGGCGTAGATGAAAACTCTAAGACGGTGGAGAACCGACATTGCAACGGAGAGCTGACTAGTAGGCCCCAGGGGTCGGCCAGCCTGTAGGTGGGGCCCTACCTCTCATAGTCTTTTTCGGTGTGGAGTCCTCTGGTGTCCTTTTGGAACCTTTTGGAGCTATTTTCGTGGATAAGCGCGATTAATTCTGACGTTTGGGTCCACCTTGATAGTTTTCTAAATAAACTCTGCTAAAAATACAGATTTATCAAAACTCTTGAAATTTATTAGTTTAAACCCCTAAACCTATATTAGTGATTATTTTCATGTCCTTATACAAGTTATATTGACGATTTATAATGATTGTTAACTGTCAACAAAGACAGAGAGGTCTACTAGGCTACCTGGTCTCTGGTTTTCACGCCACAGGGTGGGGTACGTGAGGATGTCAGGAGGCGATATTTTTTTTTTTTTTTATTTGCTTTTACAAAATATCTATCTAAATCAAAAAAAATTGCAAAACTACACTAGTATTGCCAATTGAAGCGGTGGGGAATTACATATCGCTGGTTGAACTGACAGAATACCTGTTACCATTTTTTTCTGCCAGCTTATCTTAAAAAATCATAACTTTTATACATGAGCTTGGATGAAGAAAAAATATGAAAGTTTTAGAGCAAAACGAGATCTACAACTTTATAGTTTATATGATCATTTCATTTGAGATCATTATGAAATCTAAAACATTATATCGATTATTTTGGTACGCTACAAATAGAAATATTGTGAACTAAAAGGTGGTAGATTTCATCATCGAATACAATTCTTGAAGAAATTTTATCTTCATATGTGACTATGAAAAATTTATAATTTTTGAAGATGTGCTATGTAATGGTGTGAATAAATGTTGTATCAATTTTTGGGTATCAAAACGATCTTAAATGGAAAATCCATGAACCGTAATGTTGTAAATATCTTTTTTCTCAATAACTCTCATATAAACTTTATCTCCCTCGGAATTCATACATAAAATTTATGATTTTCTTAAGATGTGTTGGTAGAAAAAAGAGAGTAAATTCCGCCAATTGAACGGTGGTAACCAATATTCCTCCGATACAACAGGCAGCAGTAATATAATTTTGCAATTTTTCTATTTAGACTAAATGAGTGCCCGTACGTTGCAATGGGTGCAACATAAATTGAATGAGATGTTTGTTAGCCAAGTCAAAATCAAGAATATATCAATTCAATTTTTTACGTGTATTATACTATGATAATGTCTAGAAACACATTCATTATCGTAATAAATCTGAAATAAAAGCTTGGCTTAGAGCTTGTTGTCTGAAAATTACGACAAACATCAGTTGCCTCAAAGGCTAAAAATTTATTGCTAGGCATCGAATTGAATTTATCCATGCTCTGCCTTGCCCAAAATATGTATACTCGGACTTACAATATCCTAGCCCGCATGAGGCATGGCAACAATTTATTTTTTGGGAAAAAAAGTATTTGTTGTCAACACGCAACGCGAAGGACGACGAACGAGATTTGGATCACGATCATGATCATTGCATGGTGATATTCCAATAAATTTCTTTCTCTTCCCATAATTCTCTTTCTGTTTTATTCTATTTTATTTACTTGCCTTTCAGTGTCTCCATGCGGTGATTATTTGTCTGCCGGTGAGTTTTATTCCATTTTATTTACTTGTCTTCCAGTGTCTCCATGCGGTGATTATTTGCCTGTCGAATATGGATCGCATGAATGTTTTGGTCCTGCAGATGTTGACAATCCGTATGTTTTAGTTGTAGAGATTAGACAAAATATTTTAGGAAAAAACGAATTTGCCAGAGGCTCTAGTCCACCGAATCCCACAGGGGTTGGGCTGGGCCAGCACGGCGCCGGATCTCGCGGAACCGGGGCAAGCGACCTTCGTCACTTTCGAGCTCTACTACGTATTACAGATTCTCGTCTAGGCAACGATCGTGACCCTAGGTGGATGAAATCCTAGCCTGGCCAGGCTTTGCCTGGGAGGCTTTAATCCAAACAAGCCCTACACCTCCATCAGGCCGCGCCAGGCTGATCAAACAAGGGGTGATTTAGATCGGGGCCTTCTCTGAAATAATTTCAGCTTGTTCCCAGGAAAATGGCGGCCCATTAAAGCCCACCTCCTCTTCACTCAAAAACCCTAAACCCCTCCTCCCTTTCCCTTTATCTTTGCTTGCCTCCCCTGCCCACAAGCCACAGCCGCCGCCGCCTCCTTTTCTTCCCGGCGCCGCCAAGATTCCAAGACCAGCGACCTGTTGAGCTGAGGTGAGCTAAGGTCTCCTTCCTCCCCTTCCCCTCACGTTATCTGATCGGTAGATATTCTGGTACTCTGTTCCTTTCTCTTAGTTAATTTACTGTCGTGTGTACGTTTCGTCCGAGATTTGATCTCGAACTGTAAGCACATATCGAAGGCTTTCTAGGCGTCAATCGGCCTATTGAGCTCAAAGCTTGTGCCATATGAATCGTCCTCGTCATCTCCACTTCAGATTGACATGATCTCCTGCCACCTTACGTGGAGGCCAGGACTCTCTTGGTCATGTCATATTTAGGATGACGCTGCACACTTTGGTTCCCTTGATGAACAGCAAATCTTTGATTTGATTTCTCCCGGATGCTTTCTTTAACCTGCTTCCGACGATGACACGACACTCCCCTTTGCATTGACGCTTGACAGAGCAGAGCAAAGCCTAGAAGGCATCCGCCATGGCCAAGAACCCCAAGGTGTTCTTCGACATCCTCATCGGCAAGTCCAAGGCCGGTCGCGTCGTGATGGAGCTCTTCGCCGACAAGGTGCCCAAGACGGCCGAGAACTTCCGCTGCCTGTGCACGGGCGAGAATGGCCTGGGCTCGTCGGGGAAGCCGCTGCACTACAAGGGCTCCGCCTTCCACCGCATCATCCCCAGCTTCATGTGCCAGGGCGGCGACTTCACCCGCGGCAACGGCACCGGCGGGGAGTCCATCTACGGCGCCAAGTTCGCCGACGAGAACTTCAAGCTGCGCCACACGGGGCCCGGCGTGCTCTCTATGGCCAACGCGGGGCCCAACACCAACGGCTCCCAGTTCTTCATCTGCACCGCGCAGACGCCCTGGCTTGACAGCAAGCACGTCGTCTTCGGCAAGGTGGTCGATGGCTACGCCGTCGTGCAGAAGATGGAGGCCGTCGGCTCTGGGTCCGGTGCCACGGCCGAGACCGTACTCATCGAGGACTGCGGCCAGCTAGCTGACGACTGAGTGTTGTGCCGAGTTTCATGTAGCCAAATGAACGGATAAATAAATTTGATTAGATTAGATTTGTTTTATGATGATGGCATGATGCTCAGACTTTTTATACCACATCGGCATCCGTTGGAAACATTTAGTATTATCTAGAAAAAGAATGCTTTTAGACTTTTCATACCACATCGGCATCCGTTGGAAACATTTAGTATATGTCCATAAGTCTCCATCGTTTTAAACCTTCAGCCTAGAGACCGAGGTGCACCGATGGCCCGCTTTGTATCTCAGAGCAAATCACTGTTTAACGCCGCTAAAATCTCCGTTTCCTGCACCGTGCATCGCGCACTCACGCAGCAGCCTCACGCGGCTGCTCTTAATCGTGCGCTCCCTTTTTCTCCCCCAAATTCTTTCCCGCGCCCGCAAACCCCCATTAGATGTCTGTCATCTGTGAAACGCAGCATCCGTGCATCAAAATTTCATTGGTGCCACTTTTCAATTTCGTTTTCAATTTTACCATGGCCAAAGGAGGATGACAACGTCCGGGTACCTCACCGCATCTTCTTTCTCCACCTCTAATTCATGCTGGATTAGATGCTTGGATTAGAGATCGATTTGAATGAACAGCCACCTGAATCTGGCGATTTGTATCCCATAGATTGGGATGACATCGTTGAGTATGATGGGCCAGCACACCAGCTTGAGATTATGACATGGTTTGGGATGATGGAAGCCAAGGTGCAAATCTACCAATATCTTTATTTTGCCTTCTGTTACTTCTGTCTTTGAATTTATTCTTTCTTTTTATGTGTTGCAACATTTGGTGAGCAAGGAGATGAAGGTGATGCTGAAACAGGAGTGCAACTACCTGAAGCCGATTGTCTGCAAGGTGCATCAACAAAAGGGGTGATGCTTCAGGTATAATTTGTCAGACAACCAATAGTGCCTGCACTTTGTAGCCTGGTTTTAGAGTAGTCCGGTTAGTATGTTGTCGGAAAGCCAATAGTGTACATATTGTCTGTTATTCAGTGTGCTTTTCTTTTTTTTCAATAATCAGTGTTTGCACACTCAGTTTAGTCATGTGTCTGCGTATTCAGTTCAGTCACCTATTTGCAGGTTCTAGAGAGAAAAAAAGGAAGTTCTATCCTGATGATCTAAAGATCGCCATTTACCTAGAGTTGTTAGCAAGAACAGATCCTCCTATTCTTCGTCCTGGAGTTTCCAAAGCAGTTTCATGTACCTCTGGCCACTTGGGAGCCTGGCACCTCGGTGTCGCCAGCAAATGAATCGGCCACAAAACGCACCTCACTCTCAGACATGTCGATCGTTTCCTCTCCCCTGTAGCAGCCAAGTACTCATCGCCACGGACAATCTGGCCAATGTCGTAGTCGTCTTCTTCGTCGCAAGAATCCGGAGCCCAGTTCACTCCACGCACGAACTCCTTCTGAACAGGGACCCTTTGGTGTTCCATCAACTGAGCGTGTTTGGTGAGGGGATTTAGTGGTTGTATCCGCCCCAAGAGTTTGTGAGAGGTTTTGATTCTATCTCGTGGGAAGCAAAAGAATACTCTAGTAAATTGTGCGTGGCTTGTTGAAGTGCCTCTCTAGTGTGGTTCTTTCGGTGCCCATAGTGTGGGCTTGGCGTGTGATGCCAATTAGCACATGAACCACCTAGCTTGGACTCACCACAACGAGGACGTATGTTGCTGCCAATCAACCAAACCTCAGGGATAAATCTTGGTATTCATATCTTTCTAGCTCGGTTCGGTATAAAGCTCTACACTTATAATTCAATTCATTAGTACACTTGTGTAATGCTTGTTTGCTTGTGTAGCTTGTAGTTGTAACTAGTTGTAGTTAGCTCTCTAGTGTAATTGTGTAGTTGGTGTGTTTGTGTGATACAACCTAGAGACATAGCAATTAGAATTGTGTAGGAGGCTTGCTTACGGTGAATTAGAGCTAGAGCGAGTAGATTCATAGGCGTCGCCTTATTTACTAATAAACATTTGCTCTGGTGCTTTGTGAGTTTGTATGAAAATTTTATAGGCTATTCATCGTCTGTAGCCATTTAGATCCCATCACCTGGTGGCATAGGGCAGTGGTGCTTGAGGTCTGCATCACCGACAGCACGAGGTTCTACGTCTCCAGGAACCAGACGTGGCGTTGCAGCGCCCCGTATTCATGAACAGCGCCGGGATGTATCGCACAACTGTATTTACTTCATGTCGGGGTCGTACGCCGATGCCCACAAAGCCCACGAGACCGATGACGCCCCGTCGTGCTTCAGCGTGGCGTTGCACCGTACCTCTCGCTCCACGCAACGCTCGCGTACATGACTGCGGCGAGGAGGAGGATAAGGAGCCGGACGCGGGCGTCGTAGGCTGAGAGAGTGGGAGAGCAGGGACGAGTATTGCACGGCAAAGAGGACGACAAGCGCGAGCATGGCTCGCAGCAGGTGCGAGGACGCCACCGCCCAGACCTAGCCTCTGCGACATTTCTCTGCTGTTTCCTCCACTCTGCGATCACAACCACCGAAGCCTCTGCCGAGACGTTCTCTCCATTAATTTAATTTTACTAATTTTCTTTCTTAAATTAATTGTTTGTCAAAATAAAAATAGGAAGTATCTAAAAGTACTATTACTTTCCAACCATCGAAAAAGCCTTATAAATATTAATGTATTTTTATATATTTTGTCAAAGTTAAAAGCTACTCCTCGGAAAGCGAGAAACATTCTTATTTTAGGACGAAGAGAGTATTAAGGGGGTGTTTGGCAAGGCTCCTCTGGAGGAGCCGAAGCCGCTTTGGAAGAGCCACAATTTGTGGCTTCTCAAAACGGCTCCAACTTCTCTGATTTTCACTGGAAAACGGCTTCTCCTACAAAACGTTTGCTAAAGCTCATTCGAAGGACCCAGAGCCAAAAAGAAGCCCTACTAAACAGGCCCCAGGTATTGACCCCGTGTCCATAGTGATCTTTGCGGACAGCAGGAAAAGTGAAAAAGTGCAAGTAGCAAAGATAATCAGTCAATCTGGATTGCACAACTGAGCCCCCACCGGCATTTTGACAAGCGGAGTCCTCCCGAAGATAATCAAATAGCTACAAAAAAAAAGATAATCAAAGTGTCAGGTCGCTTAAATTGCCTAAATACCTCATTAAGAAACGTGGCCCAAAATATCCACAGTTAGTATAGCTGAAGAGATCAGAAATCAGATGCGATAAGTTCCATTCACTGGTTGTTCCGTTGAGGTTCCTTCTTGATCCCATTGGTTGTTCCAAAGTTCTCATCTTCAGATGACTATTTTTTTTCCTCATAAGGCGACCAGATAATTAAATATTGGAATTTGTCAAACTATGAGCAGTTTGGCATCCTAGCTCAATTGCATGCACATGCAAAAAAAAAAAAGGCTCATAACCAAAATATTCTTTCAGTACAAACGTGAGCCATGCAATAAGATGGTGATACCTTCTGACTTCTGTAGATGCTCCATAGCTTACGCGACATTCAGTCTCCAACATCTCAACAACGTATGAAATGGGGTTTCATTTCTGTACTTGTTTCCTGTACTTTCAGCATTCTGCCTCGAGGATGCCAAGGCTCTAATCTACAGCTTAATTTGGAGAATATCCAACAGAAAAAAAAAGTAAAAACTTTTGGTGCTAGAGTTTCTGGTGAAGCACCTTCAAAATTCACAAGTATCAGGATGCCAAGGCTCTAATCTACAGCTTAATTTGGAGAATATCCAACAGAAAAAAAAAGTAAAAACTTTTGGTGCTAGAGTTTCTGGTGAAGCACCTTCAAAATTCACAAGTATCATACTGCAGAGTGTAGACATAGCTAATATGTGCAGTTGTACATTTTTTTTGGAAGTACCTGGCTCAGCTATAGATTTTGTAACAAAGAACAATAATTGTCAGTGCTGAAAGCAAGTAATCAGCGTCTACAAGCAAGTTTGTTTCTGGCTGGAAGTCTCCAATTACAATGAACCAGTTGTTCCCCAGCAGCATAGTGAAAAACATCAGCTAGGGAGCAAAAAAGAGAAATGTGACAGCAACATCCTACAGGTATAAATTTTTCCCATGCCACCAGTGTAGTAACGTGTACACAAGGCATCAGAAGAGACCGAGCTGCACAGAACGAACCGTACATTAAACCACTCTGTTTTCTGTTAAGAGAATCCCACTCTCTGGATTTGGTGAAGGATTCCTCCAAAATTTCAGAATTTACTTCTCACATTTTGACAAGGGAAGACCTTAACTAAATCTGAACAAGTTAATGTAACAGAGCTTTCAGTATAAAACTTCCCTATACAAACATCATTTGCATGATTGCATCATATGGAAGATACATGCGTTCATTCAAACTAAAAAAAACAGGAAAAAAGGACAAAAGAAACTCATTCGTTGTGAGTAAATAGTGATTTCTCGCTAGTAAGGTCTATAGGGAAAAAAATATCCAAGCATAGAAGATTGTGATAATTTTGTGAACACAAAAATAAAGCATTTGAAAATATAACTTCAACACAGATCATCATAAGTTGGCCAGCATCATTCATTTAGATAACTGGCATAACTAAAGCTAGCTTCCATGCATATGTCAACGCTCAACAGTCTTGCAGTGTTAGTCAAACCTAATGCATCAGAAGAGAAGAGATACTGTCGCTGAGCCAAGGAAGGAGCCGGAGACAATGTGGTTTGCGAAGGAACCAGAGGAAGTGCCACACTCACATTTGGGGAAGAGCTGAGTTGCTGGAGATCAGATCGCATTCTCAGTTGGTCCAGTTAAGGATGTCAGTTGTGGGATAGAATCGAAGCATATTACAATCAGGTTTGCTCTTTCTAATTTGGAACACTCAACATTCAGCACTATTTGTTAGTCACTGAATTCTCACTCTTGGTTGTAGCAGAATTCTTACTCTCATTGAGAGAGGATGACACTAGGAGTTGGGACAATTTTCTGGTTTATTTCTCAATGCGATGTCAACCTGAGGGGTTGGAGATACATATTTATAGGCTGCTAGCC